GAGAGAGAGAGAGAGAGAGAGACAGAGAGAGACAGAGACAGAGAAAGATAGAATGAAAGGGAGAAAGACAGAGAGAGTAGAGTGAAAGAGATATTTGGATATATATTATAGTGGTATTATATTTGTTATTTTAAAAATACACGACCACATCAGCAACGCTGTAAAACTTATCGTGTCTAAATAAATATTATTACTATTATCTTCATTATTATTAATATTATTAATTTATGATTTCCATAACAACTCTTTTTTTTCCGCTGATATTTTTCATCATTATTTTTTAACATCATCATTATATTTTCATATTTCTTTCTTTCTTTATTATTATTATTATTATTATTGTTGTCATTATTTTTTTTATTATGTGCAGTTTATTGAAACTTACGTATGCAAATCTATTAAAATCGTATAGGGCGCACAAGCGTAGCCTATAGCCATGAGCTATATTTACAATTTCCATCAAATTTAATGAAATTAATATATATGTACATGTACATTATTATATAAAATCAAGTTGCTCTCATAAAAAAACAACAACAAACAAACAGACAAGAATAAATAAAACAAGCAGACAGACAGACAGACTTGATTTTTATAAGTAATGGGTTTGCACCATATAAAATACAAAAGGCATCGAGCGAGAGCAATCACGAAGGAATGCACTGATAGTTGTGTCAGGAATATATTTGCATAAACTTATGAACCGCGAAAAGAGACTGTAGAGTTCTTGCCTTGTGACTTCCCAACTTCAAGGGCCATTTTAAAAATATTAGAATGAATCAACCGACATGAGCTTTTGCAGGTACAGATAATATATCCTTGAGAAGACGTAACTAAATTTAAAAAACAATGGTTCGAGCCGTTTATGAGAAATCGTGGAAAACGCAAAACTTTGAAGATTTGCTAAATCTTTAGTCAAAAACGCTTTTCGAAAAAAAATTCGTTCTCAAGACCAGCAAGGAACTAGTTGACCAAACTCACACAGTATAAAAACAAGAGCAACAGCAACATTTTAGGATATTTTTGAATAATTTTATTCAATAGTAATTTTTTAAACCGAGTGCGCAAAAGCGATAAACAAAACTGAGAGTATAAAATGTTCGTGCGATTTTCTCCAAATCTAATATACGAATTTCTTTAAATCCTTGATATTTTGTTTGTCATGAATTGGGGATTCTTAGGAGTTAACAGTTTTTCTACAGCACATCTGAATCGCGCGTACTTTTATTTTTTCCAATTTTCGATTTTTCTCAATTTTCTTGCGTTGAAGACTTTGATTTTAATAAAATATACATTAGTACAAACTTCAAACCAAGAGCAACAACTGGTATAAATTCTAAAATGATCCAGCAAACAGAACATTGTCAACGCGACGATTGAAAAAGTTCTGTTTGGTGATCACGAAACTGTATCGAAACACCTTAACTCCAGAGAAGCCTAAAGATACCGAAACTCTGACAAGACGACTAGATACACCAGACAAGACGAGCCCGTCATGGTGAAAGTGGAAGTTATCCCGGGTAACCAAATCACCTCTTGCAAGTCCCTAAACATTAGGTCATTCCTAAAGATTAAAATGCTTTTCGTCTTTCAAGGTCAGATCAGCTAAAGATGTTGCTTTTAGACCAAGCTCTTTTGCCTCCACAACCTGGTCTTCGATTATACTTTTCAGTGGACAGACTACAACCACACAGCAGTGTTTTTTTGTGTGCGAAAGATTGCTTCACGCGAACAAGCAGGCGAAATATTAAGCTCTTTCCGAAACCAGTAGGCAAAACATACTTTGCGTCTACTCTACAAACAAAAAGATCGAAAACAAACAGAAAATATAAAACGTTTGAATCTCTCGTTATTGAATCGAAATTTGGTCAACATAAAGTTATCGTTGTTGGCGTATATAGGCCACCTAAGTGTATTGGGAGTGAATACTATGTTAGACTAGACGAAGAATTGAATGACATTATATCGTGGGCAAGCTTGCAAACACAATTCATTATAGTTACTGGAGATCTCAACCTTAATCGCCTGATTCCTGGAAGCAGTGAAGGAAAATTGCTAAGGGATCTTGAAGACGTACATAGTCTTTCATGCCTCATAGACAAGCCTACCAGGATAACCGAAACAAGTCAGTCAATGCTGGACGTTATTTTAACCAATAAACCCGAACTTTTTAGAGACTGTGATACTTACGACCCTGGCATAAGCGATCATACGCTGGTTTATGGCATTATGAACGTGAATGGTAAACACTATCCACACAAGGTAATTTCATTCAGAAGTTTTAAGAATTTAAATGTAAAGGATTACCTACAAGATCTACAGTCTGCGCCATGGCAAGTTGCGGAAATATTTGACACGATGGATGACCAAAATTCTTACTGGAATATGCTGTTCACTAGTGTTGCTGATGTACATGCACCTCGTAAAAAGATGAGAGTGCGGGCACAAGACGTCCCGTACATCACGTTGGAATGGAAGAAAGCTATGAGAGAAATATAAATACCAGAAGAGATATTCAAGAATTGAAAGAATTGCAAAAAGAATTTTTGGAGAAACAACGCAACCAAGCTACGTAGAAAAGCAAGAGAATATGAACTAAGAGAAGGAATTCCCGTGCCCCATAATGTGCACACTTTGATGCTATTTTTAGAATTCTAAAAATATTTTCCAATGATATCATTTATTTGATCGTTTTATTTTCTGCACGCGCATAGTACGCGCGCGCTCTACGCTGTTTGCTAACGTTTCCTTGTGCTTTTCTTATGTTCAAATGTTCAAATCAAGATGATGTAGGTCGGAAGCTTTGAAAATTTGAAAAATTACTACTTTAATTTCTTGCTTTGGACGTGCACATTCATATCCAGGGCAGAGGCGAAATAACGAAAAAAACAAAAACAAAAACAAAAACGTAAGCAAACAGCGTAGAGCACGCGCAGTAAATGCACGTGCAGAAAAAAATGGTTTATAGCATCAAACTGTGCACATGATGGTTACAAGGCTATATAGGGGGGATTCCTTCTATTAGTTCATTTTCTCTTGAGAAAAGCTATTAAAGATTACTGGCTGACTAAAACAGGATCTGCCAAGACTGATCCTATGGAGTTTTATACGGT